TTCCTCAGCCGTTGCATCTGGCGGTTTGTATATTAGAATAATCACTAAGTTTATTTTCTCTATTTTTAATCCCAGTACCTCTACCACCTCATTTGTAACGTTTAGGAGCTCCGAGTATACAAGGTCTTCCCTAATATACAGACCCACTCCTCCATGTGACTCTAGTGGTACTAACCAACCAGGGAAGAGTCGTCAAGTTTCTGTGGATCCCCTCCCATGTTGGGGATCCCCTCCCATGTTGGGGATCCCCTCCCATGTTGGGGATCCCCTCCCATGTTGGGGATCCCCTCCCATGTTGGGGATCCCCTCCCATGTTGGGGATCCCCTCCCATGTTGGGGATCCCCTCCCATGTTGGGGATCCCCTCCCATGTTGGGGATCCCCTCCCATGTTGGGGATCCCCTCCCATGTTGGGGATCCCCTCCCATGTTGGGGATCCCCTCCCATGTTGGGGATCCCCTCCCATGTGGGGATCCCCTCCCATGTTGGGGATCCCCTCCCATGTTGGGGATCCCCTCCCATGTTGGGGATCCCCTCCCATGTTGGGGATCCCCTCCCATGTTGGGGATCCCCTCCCATGTTGGGGATCCCCTCCCATGTTGGGGATCCCCTCCCATGTTGGGGATCCCCTCCCATGTTGGGGATCCCCTCCCATGTTGGGGATCCCCTCCCATGTTGGGGATCCCCTCCCATGTTGTGGTTCCCCTCCCATGTTGGGGATCCCCTCCCATGTTGGGGATCCCCTCCCATGTCGGGGATCCCCTCCCATGTTGGGGATCCCCTCCCATGTTGGGGATCCCCTCCCATGTTGGGGATCCCCTCCCATGTTGGGGATCTCCTCCCATGTTGGGGATCTCCTCCCATGTTGGGGATCCCCTCCCATGTTGGGGATCCCCTCCCATGTTGGGGATCCCCTCCCATGTTGGGGGGATCCCCTCCCATGTTGGGGATCCCCTCCCATGTTGGGGATCCCCTCCCATGTTGGGGGGATCCCCTCCCATGTTGGGGATCCCCTCCCATGTTGGGGGGATCCCCTCCCATGTTGGGGATCCCCTCCCATGTTGGGGATCCCCTCCCATGTTGGGGGGATCCCCTCCCATGTTGGGGATCCCCTCCCATGTTGGGGATCCCCTCCCATGTTGGAATATGTGGGAATGAACGAGCAGATGTGCTGGCTGCTGAAGGCGCTGAAGGAGACCATATTGAATACTTCATACCCAAGACTCTACTACAAATTAGAGGTATTGTCAGGCAACATCACCGTGACAAGGTAACTGAGGAAAGGAGGATAGAAGCACAAACCAGTGAATCTGTACGATGGTACAACATGGTTGCAGCTGGCAATCCCAATCAGTATGGCCGAAGAGGAGGAGGACGAGGGAGAGAATCGGTAATAGCGAGAATCTGTCTTGGATACAAATATCCATGGAGATATGGAAGAATCTGTGGTGAGAGTGATGGACACCGCCTTGACCACTATCTACGTGAATGTGAACACCTGAGAGACATTAAAAATATGTGTAGAATAATAAACCCCAAATTGTTTGAGTTAGGAAAACACTCTTTGTCAAATATTGATACTGTTCTTAAAAGATTCCCCCATTTTGCACCCGCAAGATAACGTAAGCTTTTAAGGGTTGATAGATGTTAATCTTCTTGTTTGAGGAGCTGTTCACTTGAGACAGTTAATCAAGTCCCAGCTGTGTCTGGGTACAAGTGACAGGATGAACAACCCAGCGGGTTTTCTTCCTATTGGGGAGTGTTGTACATGCTGCTATGGCGGTGTGTCCACTCACAAGATGAGGGACGCTGCCCAATACTGTCACTATGGCGGTGTGTCCACTCACAGGATGAGTGACGCTGCCCAATACTGTCACTATGGCGGTGTGTCCACTCACAGGATGAATGGCACTGCCCAATACTGTCACTATGGTGGTGTGTCCACTCACAGGATGAGTGACGCTGCCCAATACTGTCACTATGGCGGTGTGTCCACCCAGGATGAGTGGCGCTGCCCAATACTGTCACTATGGCGGTGTGTCCACTCACAGGATGAGTGGCGCTGCCCAATACTGTCACTATGGCGGTGTGTCCATTCACAGGATGAGTGGCGCTGCCCAATACCGTCACTATGGCGGTGTGTCCACTCAGAGGATGAGTGGCGCTGCCCAATACTGTCACTATGGCGGTGTGTCCACTCACAGGATGAGTGGCGCTGCCCAATACTGTCACTATGGCGGTGTGTCCACTCACAGGATGAGTGACGCTGCCCAATACTGTCACTATGGCGGTGTGTCCACTCACAGGATGAATGGCACTGCCCAATACTGTCACTATGGTGGTGTGTCCACTCACAGGATGAGTGACGCTGCCCAATACTGTCACTATGGCGGTGTGTCCACTCCAGGATGAGTGGCGCTGCCCAATACTGTCACTATGGCGGTGTGTCCACTCACAGGATGAGTGGCGCTGCCCAATACTGTCACTATGGCGGTGTGTCCATTCACAGGATGAGTGGCGCTGCCCAATACCGTCACTATGGCGGTGTGTCCACTCACAGGATGAGTGGCGCTGTCCAATACTGTCACTATGGCAGTGTGTCTACTCACAGGATGAGTGGTGCTGTCCAATACTGTCACTATGGCGGTTTGTCCACTCACAGGATGAGTGGCGCTGTCCAATACTGTCACTATGGCAGTGTGTCTACTCACAGGATGAGTGACGCTGCCCAAAACTGTCACTATGGCGGTGTGTTCACTCACAGGATGAGTGGCGATGCCCAATACTGTCACTATGGCGGTGTGTCCACTCACAGGATGAGTGGCGCTGCCCAATACTGTCACTATGGCGGTGTGTCCACTCACAGGATGAGTGACGCTGTCCAATACTGTCACTATGGCGGTGTGTCCACTCACAGGATGAGTGGCGCTGCCCAATACTGTCACTATGGCGGTGTGTCCACTCACAGGATGAGTGGCGCTGCCCAATACTGTCACTATGGCGGTGTGTCCACTCACAGGATGAGTGACACTGCCCAATACTGTCACTATGGCGGTGTGTCCACTCACAGGATGAGTGGCGCTGCCCAATACTGTCACTATGGCGGTGTGTCCACACAGGATGAGTGGCGCTGCCCAATACTGTCACTATGGCGTGTGTGTCCACTCACAGGATGAGTGGCGCTGCCCAATACTGTCACTATGGCGGTGTGTCCACTCACAGGATGAGTGGCGCTGCCCAATACTGTCACTATGGCGGTGTGTCCACTCACAGGATGAGTGACGCTGCCCAATACTGTCACTATGGCGGTGTGTCCACTCACAGGATGAGTGACGCTGCCCAATAAACTCGCCCCTCGGGGCAAAATTAAAAATATAAAATCAGCAGCATATGCCAGGTTTTCTCCCCATACTCATCCTGTGAGTGTTGTGTACCCCATACTCATCCTGTGAGTGTTGTGTACCCCATACTCATCCTGTGAGTGTTGTGTACCCCATACTCATCCTGTGAGTGTGTGCTCCCCATACTCATCCTGTGAGTGTGTGCTCCCCATACTCATCCTGTGAGTGTTGTGTACCCCATACTCATCCTGTGAGTGTTGTGCTCCCCATACTCATCCTGTGAGTGTGTGCTCCCCATACTCATCCTGTGAGTGTTGTGTACCCCATACTCATCCTGTGAGTGTGTGCTCCCCATACTCATCCTGTGAGTGTGTGCTCCCCATACTCATCCTGTGAGTGTTGTGCTCCCCATACTCATCCTGTGAGTGTGTGCTCCCCATACTCATCCTGTGAGTGTTGTGTACCCCATACTCATCCTGTGAGTGTGTGCTCCCCATACTCATCCTGTGAGTGTTGTGCTCCCCATACTCATCCTGTGAGTGTTGTGTACCCCATACTCATCCTGTGAGTGTGTGCTCCCCATACTCATCCTGTGAGTGTTGTGCTCCCCATACTCATCCTGTGAGTGTTGTGTACCCCATACTCATCCTGTGAGTGTGTGCTCCCCATACTCATCCTGTGAGTGTTGTGTACCCCATACTCATCCTGTGAGTGTTGTGTACCCCATACTCATCCTGTGAGTGTTGTGTACCCCATACTCATCCTGTGAGTGTTGTGTACCCCATACTCATCCTGTGAGTGTTGTGTACCCCATACTCATCCTGTGAGTGTTGTGTACCCCATACTC